AATTACCCCCTAAGATACATGAGCGAGAAAGGACAAGACAGGATTTATCACACACCGGAAGAAGCACAACAATTGGCAACGCAACGTCAAGCAGAGGCGGCATTGAAGACGTCAATTGACTTGACAGAGCAATTCTGGCGAACATGGAGAGAACAATATCTCACCAGTCTTCGAGAGCAACACAAAATAAGGATGAATGAAAAACGTGGATCGAAAAGGACACCAAAAATAGGCGACATCGTTATACTTTGGGACGCGATACAACCGAGAAATACATGGAAAACAGCAAGGATAGTACAAATTGAAGACTCACCTTCGAAGACGATAAGAGAAGTCATAGTTGAAACTCCCAATAAAAGAAGATTACGTCGTCCAATAAATCGAATAGTGCCGCTGGAAATAAATAGCGATGATGACTCACCCGCAAGACAGCAGCAAGAAAACACAGAAGCTCGATATAATTTACGTCCGAGGGCACGCATCAATTACAAGGAACAAGAGGCAGATGAACAAAGAGAACGAAGCGATAAAGGACTCATCTCAACCACTTCACTCTTCACAGTGGCGCTCCTCTCGCTTTGCGTGCAGATGACGAGAGCGGTACCCAATAAAAGTGATCATCAACTACATTGCAAAGAAGGAGGAGTGATCCTCTCACAATCCAACGGACTTCCCTATGAGATATGCGCGGAGGAGTATTGCATAGAGTTTCGGACACCTCGACATCAGGAGATAGTGAAGTTTCCATCACAGATAACATTACACGACCACCTCGTAAAATGGAAAACATTCGATGGCACAGATGTCACCATAATGGAGACGACCTGCAGGGCAGCTCCCTTCTGCAAACAAATCGACTGCGTCTTCTGTTCTGCGATGATGGCGAATCCGGAATGCTGGCCTCGGATAGCCATTGCAGCCACAGGACTCATGATTTATGCAGGAGTTGCCGTATGTTATTGTATCTTCCACGTACCGGTAGTAGTGGGAACACCACTACTTTACTTCCTCAAAATCACGAGATCGTGCGGAAAGTGGTCAATCAAGCTGATGTGGAAATTCATCACATCCCCATTTTCAACGAGTTACCGCCGACGCCGTAGAAGATATTCACTATCCGAACGAGTCATTCTCCTCGCCATAGTTTACATAGCAACAGCTCAAGGGTGCCAGGATGTCAACATATTCGCCCATCATAGCCGGTCTTGCTACATAACAAACCACAGTGAGTACTGCACGATAGACACCGCAGAAATTTTGAAGATCAATCCGTTCAAGCAAGAGGCTTGCCTTCGCTTACGAAACAATCATGCGAGTGTTTTGGAAACAAAACTACTGTGGAAGGGTCTCAACCTGGTTTGCGAGAAACAAACAACATTATTCTCAAGAAGCACCAGGTATGCACTGTTGGATAGCAAGAGATGCCCTCATGCTGGCTCATGCACAGGAGAGAAGTGCGGAAACGTGACGCGGACTTCACAGATATCCGAGCTGCACAGGGCAAACCACTTTCCAGGTATTACAGGCTGCGTGGAAAGCTGTGGAGGCCCCGGGTGCGACTGCTTCTATCCCAGCTCGGGATGTCTATTTTATAGAATTTATCTCATACCAAATGATGAGAAAGTCTATGAGTTTTTCAAGTGCAACCGATGGAAACCGATAGTGAACATGCAACTGCAAGTCAACGATGCGGATCAATCTCCACGAGAGTATAATTTCCAGGTAGTCCCAAATCAACCAAGGAGCCTACCACCATTCATAGTCACTCTCTCATCGATCAGCATACCACCCACTCCTATGCTGCATACAAACTTCCTCACCGATGGAACCATAATCGCACAGACACCAACTCAACTGGAACCTCCGCTAGCATGCGCTTCAGCTCAGCACGCAGCAAACCTCACCTGTGAAGTGAGAGAAGATTGCAAATGCACGCCCGCGGAGGTGAAAATGAAGTGCGACTGCAAAGAAGTGAACCTCACCGCCCTGATTCGGGAACCGCGGTATAGACTACCCATACTACAGCCGAATCTTGAGTTCCACCCAATAAATGGCACTGTGGTATCGAAAATACCTCAACTGCCCACAGCGGAATTTGTTCTACGCATCAAAGGCAGATTCAACACAACAGCGATGCGATCGCAAGCAGTCTGTACGAGTGAAGATGCACACTGCCAAGGATGCTACAAATGTGCTAAGGGGGCAAAAGCCCTGATTACGTGCAAGTCGTCTACACCCAGGACTTGGGCAGAAATCCAATGCGGTGACGACGCATTTACAGTACAATGCACAGACCAGGGCGTACAAACAAACCTGAGCTTTGTAAGCGAGACAGCACTATTTTATCGAAAATGTACAATTCAGTGCGGAATAACTATAAGCGAGTTCAAGATCACAGGATTACTCCACTACACAGGAAGCCTAGAAGGAGCCGTACGGCGCGTTCTGAAAGGAGAAAGCGAAATTTTCTCCGAGATCAATTTGCCGGACTTCACACATCTAGCGGAGACATTCCTGACATGGTGGATGACTCTCGCCATCACAGCATTGCTAGTGATAGTGGCCTTGCTTATAACCTATTTTGCTGTGATTAATGCTTTTCCCTGCACGGTCACCAACACGATCTGCCACATATTTCTCGCACTGTCCAGATTGACCTTCCGTCTGCTTCGTATCTTATGCATGATACCCTTCCGGTGCCTTTATTTATGTCTCGGTAAGAAAACGAAATCCGAGGAAAAGAATTTGTGAAGGCGTAAGTCGCACTTTTGTACCCAATCTACATATATTTTCATGCCGGTGTAACAGTTCAAAAAGGGTACCTTTTGCTGTGTAATCGCTTCCTAGAGATGCAACTATTGTTTGACCAAAGAATGGTTACTAGATATAGGCATAGAAACCACAAATCAAGGCGATACAAATTGCATAGACCATGAGAAGTGCCATCAACGAAGAAAA